GCAAAGAGGTAAAATGTTCAGTCGCATTATATATGCAATGACAGAGAGCTAAACTATTTGAAATGAATGTCTGAGACCATGAAATGAAGAAGATGAAATGAAAAAATAAAATGAAATGGACCAATTAGATTTTTTTTGAAGGACTATTGTATTATATATATATGTATACATAGATATATATATGTGTGTATGTATATATATATATATATATACTGTATATATGTATATATTATATATATATATATATGTATATACATACACACCTTGCTACGTGTACGAAGGTTTACCTTCCAAGAAGACAATGACCCTAAGCACACAGCTAAAATAATGAAGGAGTGGCTTCACAACAACTCTGTTACTGTTCTTGAATGGCCCAGCCAGAGCCCTGACTTAAACCCAATTGAGCATCTCTGGAGAGACCTAAAAATGGCTGTCCACCAACGTTTACCATCCAACCTGGCAGAACTGGAGAGGATCTGCAAGGAGGAATGGCAGAGGATTCCCAAATCCAGGTGTGAAAAACTTGTTGCATCTTTCCCAAAAAGACTCGTGGCTGTATTAGATCAAAAGGGTGCTTCTACTCTAAATACTGAGCATGTGATATTTCAGTTTTTTTTTTTTAATAAATCTGCAAAAATGTCAACAATTCTGTGTTTTTCTGTCAATATGGGGTGCTGTGTGTACATTAATGAGGAAAAAAAATTAACGTAAATGATTTTAGCAAATGGCTGCAATATAACAAAGAGTGAGAAATTTAAGGGGGTCTGAATACTTTCCGTACCCACTGTATATATGTATATATTATATATATATATATATGTATATACATACCTTGCTACGTGTACTGCGTAAGGCTAACCGAGACTTGTCATTTGCACTTATATATTGTTGCTCTTTTGTTAGTTTTGACTGCTTTTATTGTCCTCATTTGTAAGTCGCTTTGGATAAAAGCGTCTGTAAAATGACTAAATAAATAAATAAAAAATAAGTATTCATGTGCAAATACAACAAATTCCAATTTGTTATATTATACAGATCGTTGACCGCACATCAGCTGAATTCTTTATTAATGCACAAAGAAGCTACTGCATTGCTTAGCAACTGTAAACAGCCTATAGTAAAGCTTCATTCTTTATTGAACATCTGTTTTTTCATATGGATAGCCATGTACTAACTATCAGATTATATGTGCACATGTGTATATAATGTGAAATCAAAATTTGGTCACACTTTATTTTAATGTGTCTTTGTTTTGATTGCACAGAGTACAGAACAAGTGCAGAATATTATTCATTAACAACATGCACTTACTATAGGATTAGAGTTTGGTTTAGTGTTAGTGCCTGTAATTATGCATAATTTACTGTTACTACTATAGTAAATACATGTAACAAGAACACATTAAAGTGCTTTCCTAATTTCTTATTTTATTTTAGTTCAGTGGTGAAATATTGTATGACCCAGGTTATGTTCTTGACAATACTCGTGGTCAAATGACTGTAATGGATGGCGACTAATCGCTCTACCTGCATTCATGAGCACACCTCCAGCAAACATTAGACTTTATTTAATGATGGCTATTACACTGGCCACAAACATGCATGCACACTGGAATGGCTGCTTGTGGTTCTGCTCTAACTAGGTCACTTTATTAATGTTTGTGGTTTGGCCCTGCTAAAGAGCCATTTGTCTTGAGAGGAGCCCTACTAATGTGTTAATGAGAGATACGCTTCTGTGCGTGAACCCAGAAAACTGCTGCGAGACGCCATCCTTCACGAGAGATAGAGAGAGAGAGAGAGAGAGAGAGAGAGAGAGAAAGAAAGAAAGAAA